GATTTTCCGTTTTTCCCGGGGGAAAGTCGACTTTCGCCAAAATCGAATTATTTAGCCGGGTGAACGTTGATTCCAACTATTTAAGCGCCGGGCTTGTCAGAACTGTCAAAAGTATGTGGAAAAAGTGAAAACTGAGAAACCGTTTTTTTTGGCCCCAGCCAAAGGATCAGATTTTCGGGTTTTCCGGGGCAAGTGGATTTTCGCCAAAATCGAATTTTTTAGCCGGGTGGACGTTGATTCCAACTATTTAAGCGACGGGCTATTCAGAACTCTCAAAAGTATGTGGAAAAAGTGGAAACTGAAAAAAAAAATTATTCACCGGGGGCCACAGGGTCCGATTTTTGGTTTTTACTTGGAACAATGATCAGATTTGTTAATACTTTCATTTTTTATTTGGATAATGCATGCAAGCGTAGGGACAAGAGTGGCTAGAATAGATTCTGCTACCTTCTCCCCTTGTTGGGTAAAAATGTCAAGCCTCCACATACATGCATCTCCCCTCCACCCTCTTGTGAAATGTCGATTTTCGAGATTAAAAAAAAAACAATAATTGCATTTTTTATTTCAATAACGCATGAGTAAACGGGGATATGAACGCAGATTTAATATAGGCCCATAGAATTACGGGGACCGGCAAGGATTTGGAAAGTCTGAATACATGTCCTGCTTACACCTAACAAGTGCTGAAATGGGACACAACCAGAGGTAGAAAGGTCTCCGAAGGACTTGGGAAGAGGCTTCTTGGGAAGACCTATCCAGTTCTGAACGGAAAGACCTAAGTAGAACTTGTCAGGTCCAATTATTCGACTCGGGATATATTTCGAATTTTACGTAAATTCGAAAACACACAAGTCATTGATCTGTATCTACTTGAATCTGAAATGATTCAAATAGATACAGATCAATATGATCAAATAGATAGGTCTGGGATGAATATCAAAGCAAATTCGAATCCCTGCGGAGAGGATTCATCGATTTTCTATCTTCGACGATAGGTAAAAATGGTAAGTCATGGTTAAACTGTAATTGATTTAGGAAATGACACTCGATCGTGTTTTTTGAAGAAGTTTTCATCAATGGGATTGTCTCCATTGTATGTCCTTAATGATAAATTACCACATGACGTTGATCGATCCTCGTTGAATTTCTCTTCATTAACAAGAAACATTATTCATGTTTTACAGACGGTGAGGCTTGTCGTCGACTTCTGCAAATCCGCTGAGATATCAGAATTGGAAGACGGAACACCGCCCGCATTCGATGACAGTTCATGTCAAGCAACTGGAACAGTACCTCCCTTCAACGAATATCTCAATGTCAATGCACCCCTACAAATAGGCGGATGGTTTATCGAGCATTTCGACCAGCACCAGTTCAAGTGGAAATCCATGCCCAATGGGAAGCCATTCGACGGTTGCATAAGGAATCTATTCCACAATAGTAAATTATACGATCTTGCACATCCGGGGTTGTCAAGGAACAGTGTAGCAGGCTGCCCGCAGACAGATGAGATTTGCAATAATCAGGAATCCACGTTCAGATGCTGGGAGCATGGCACGTGTGTCGGAAGCTTTACTGAGGCCAGATGTCAGTGTAATCCGGGATGGACTGGGCCCAGTTGTATGACACCTACCATTCCTACGACTTTTAAACAGCAGAGTTATGTGAAGTATGCACTGTCCTTTGAACCTGATAAGTACTCGACACAGATCCAGCTCAGGTTCAGGACTAGGGAGAGCCAGGGAGAACTTTTCCGAGTCAGTGATCAGCATAACAGAGAATACGCCATTTTGGAAGTAAGTAATTAAGAATATGCAGGTACTCAGAATTTTACCAAAAATAGATTTCATGCCTAAATAAATAAAATTTCTGGAAATTTAAACAATTTTAATTACTCATTCGTAAACTACGAATGTTTAAAAAAGCAATAATTCTGTGCAAAATTTAATGTGAATAGCCCTGAATATTAATCTTTTTTTTCAAATTTTTCTCACGTAATTTAATTGAAAAATTTGATGATTAAAAATGGTTGAATCTACAGTGCAGTCTCCCACCAAACTGCAAAAGATGAATATCCTTAAATCAAATTGATAGAGATTCAATCACCTGAAAGTGTCATGAAACCAATGTATCTATCGCAATTCTGAACAGATTGTTACTTTGCTCAAAAGCCCTGTGACAATGAACAAAGATAAAATATTCCCCCCAACAAATTGTACTCAATCTGATGGATATGCACATCAACCACGAAGATAGGTCTGTAATATTGAATTTATTTGTATTACAGATCAAAGGAAGTACCCTACAATTCAGGTACAATCTGAACAGTTTGAGAATCGAGGAGAGGGATATTTGGCTGAGTGCCATTGCCATTGACGATGGTCAATGGCATACCGTTAGAGTATCGAGATACGGTTCAGCAGCGACACTGGAATTGGATGGGGGTGAAGGCAGGCGATTCAATGAGACATTCTCCTTTGAAGGCCATCAATGGCTCCTGGTCGATAAGCAGGAGGGTGTTTACGCGGGTGGTAAAGCTGAATACACTGGAGTGAGAACGTTTGAAGTTTATGCTGATTACCAAAAAGGTAACAACTTGGGAGTGCCAGAGGATTTCTGGGATTTATTTCTTTTAGGATCATTACCGCTTCATTCGAAATCACTGGGCCAATAGGAAATTTCCGATTTTATTGCTATTGAGGGGAGTTATTTGAAGGGGAAAGTCGTAAAATAAATTCCAATCAATTCAAACGTTTAGGGTTTTTCTTCCGAGGAACGAGATGAGAAATGGAAGCTCTGAAAAGTTAGAGAACATTGAAGGGAACATTCTCAGAATGTCTCTCAAACTTCCTGGTTTTGAAGACATTTACAAAATAATTCGTTCCTCTTTGCGAAGAAAGAAATAGATAAATTAGTGCCTGAAGAGATTTGAATGTTTTGCTTCCCAATGGAAGTTTCCATTTTTTTTCCTTATCATAGATATAATAAATCTGGTGTCGAATGTTTGGCCGCGATTCACGCAAAAACGACTGAATCTATTTCAATGGTGTTTTTAATATTATATAGTTTCGGGTCTCCAATCGGTTCTCAGCTATAAGTTATTGCGCTACGGTGCATAGTTTAGTATGCACCGTAGAAACTTCTAGGAAATTCTAGAGCTGTCTGGAAAATTCTACAACTTTCTGAACAATGTAGGAATATTCTCGAGTATTCGAGAATATTTTTGAGATTTCTGCAAGGTTTGAGGATAATCTCGGGTTTTATAAAAGGTTCGAGGAAATTCTTGGGTTTCACAGAGAATTCGAAGAAACTTTTGAATTTTCTAGGAAATTCGAACTAATTCTCAAATTTTCTAGAAAATTGTAGGAAATTTTCAGGTTTTCTAAAAAATTCGAGGGAATTCTCGGGTTAAAATTTGTTGTTATTCCAATTGAGGAATTTAATTTTAAATTCTGATTGACTAGCTGTGTGACCCGGGAAACACCGCCCCGCGTCGTTTATCTTTAATTACAATTGACTGCCTACCCGGAAAAATTACAAAAAATTGTCAAATTCACGAATGCATAAATAAATGCATAAATGCTCCTTTCAATTGGAAAGTAATTTATCAATTAAAGTGTCTAAAGAATTATAGTAGTTATTAGAACAACATACTTCCCGAAATTCCAAAAGAAAACAAATTATTTTGAGCAGATAGATTATTTTTTCTCACGTTAAATGAAATTGGCCATCACGCGTCGTTGCCGGAAACTCGCTAAACGCGCCCGGGCAGTGTAGAGTGAATTTGGCAACGCTAGAGCCTAAATAACACGGCGGGGAATCCCCGCGGAGTTGACCAGAGTCGTGCGGTCGCGTTTAGTGCCTAGACTAGGGTTAAACTCAGGTACTAATTTACAGAGGACTTTTCAGCGCCAGCGTTTTGGCGCGACCAGTGCCGCGTTCAAGTTGCGCCAAAAAGTCACGTACCCGCTAATCTATTATGTTGAATATTAATTCATGGTCCCGCTTAACGTATTATTTTTATTAATTCATGGTCCCGCTCAACTTTTGACAGAACCTGGGTTGAACTCTAGCTAAATCCTGAATAAACCTTGATTGAACCTTGATTAAACCCGGGCTGAAAACGAATTCGATTCTTGAGAGGGTATTAATGTAGAATCATTCGACAGAACGAAATAATACGCAAAATTTTGATGATATTTCAATTGACGATGGAAGAAATAAACGAGAGAAAAAATAGAAGTGGAGAATAGGGAAACAAGAATTAAAATAAAAAAAGAGAATTCATTCGGCAGCAAATTGCTAATTTATTAGCAACAAAAACTGTACTCATTCATTAAAAAATGCCATTGTCCATTTGTTTATTCTGAAATGAAGGAAACTAAAAAAAATTAACAATTAATTTCTCCAACTGTGGCCAATTAACTTGTTTACCGATATCCTCCAATCAAAATTGTCATACGTTCTTAATTAAACATTCTAGGCTGTTTGGATGATATTCGCCTCGAGGGAAAACACTTGCCATTGCCACCAGCAATGAATGGTACACAGTGGGGACAGGCAACAATGGCGAGGAATCTCGAGAGAATGTGCCCATCCAATAAACCATGTGCCAATGTACTCTGTCCAGATCCGTTCGAGTGCATTGATCTCTGGAACGAGCATGCCTGCACGTAAGTTGGATATAAAAAGCATATAAATTCACAACAAGAGTGCGGAATGTACATATAGGGAGATGTAAAACCGAGTCAGTGGGAATAACTGATGACATTCAACAGGTGTGGAGAGGGAAGGATACGTACGCCCGATGGAAAAAGCTGCATGGATAAGAACGAGTGCATTGATTACCCGTGTTTGAATGGTGGTAGATGCATAAATCAAGAGCCACATCTGCGCTACAAGTGTATTTGCCCGGAGAGTTTCTGGGGTGAAAATTGTGAACTTGTGCAGGAGGGACAGACGTTGAAACTCAGTATGGGGGCGTTGGCTGCTATTTTAGTTTGTTTGCTCATAATTCTCGGTAAGTTCTTGTACGAAAAAGTTTAATAGAATTGGTAGACAATTCTATTGAATTTCAGGGATGGCCATCAATCTTCTAATTCTTCAATATTAAAAGAACTTCTGACTTAGATTGATCAAAGTTTAAATATACTAATCGAAATTTAAAAATAAAATAATTGATAATCTAAATTTCCAATTTATGATGAATTAAATATTTTAAAATCTTGAACTATAAATTTTTTATAAAGGATTTCCGAGTATTCAAATAATTCTCAATCTTCCGAACTCAATTACTGATTAATGAATAATTGAAATTTTGAAAATTTAACTTGATGATTACTTTAATAATTAAAATTTGGAAGTGATATTTACTAATTGACTACTTAGTAATTTCAGAGTAATTGTAATTGAGGGATATGGCTATCCCTGTTAGATTTCTATTGAACTTTCTATTCTTTACTTTATTTTTATCATTCTTCATTTTCTATTTCTTTCTGTTTTCGGCAGATTCCACTGAAATGTTCATCGATAGAAAATATATTCTAGAACAAGTCAATAGAATTCGATTTTTTTATACAACTTATTCTATTGAGATGTTTTCTATAGAATTTCTTCGGCTGAAATTTTATAATTTTTTCATACTTCTTTTTCTTTTTATTCATCGACAAAATTAAACAAGAAACTCAGAAAATTTGAGCTAAGGAAATTCCATAGAAATATCTTTATTGAGATATTTCAAAGTAAATAATACGATTTTTTCATTGCAGTTCTGGTCTTAATCTTCGTCGTCTACAACAGGAGAAGAGAATCTCATATTAAATACCCAGGCCCTGATGACGATGTGAGAGAAAACATCATCAATTACGACGACGAAGGCGGTGGAGAGGACGATATGACAGCATTTGACATAACGCCTCTACAAATTCCTATCGGTGGTCCCATCCCTGAGATGGGTGGCAAGATGGCACCCTGCAAAGTGGCCTGTGAGTTTTGAATAATATCATGAGAATTCATTCATCTTCACATTATTCCATGAGGTGGAATTTTTGCAACGGACGTTTAAGAAAATTCAGTAACAAATCCTCGCTTTAGGACATTTTAGCATTTCTGTGCTGATTTCTGTCGGAAATGTCACTATCTTTTTGATTGCTTTCTTCTAGTTGAACATGTGAACCTGGGAACGGTTTACATATGTTCCTCATATTGAATTGAAGAAAATGTGATGAAACAAAATAGATGTGATACGGTGTTGAAAATTTGTGGCTGAAATTTCCGGTAATTTTGGCAATTTTTATCGTATTATATTTTCACTGAAATTTCAAAGGATGTCGTCACTGAAAATTTTAATTTTTAGGGATAAATCAATGGAAACTATAAATTTTAGTTCAATAGTTCAATGAAAATTCTAGAACTTGGAAAAATTCAGGGAAATATGTTCTTAAATTTCAAATTACTTGAAAGTTCAAGTAAGTTGGGAAATCCCTGTCTTCCTGTTGCTCAAAAATTTGGAATTTCATTGAGTTTTCAGTGAAATCAGAAATTTCACTGAAGTTTCGGGTTTTGTTTTTTTCCTATCCAAATCGAATTCAATGTTTCCCTCCCAGAAATCACTAATCAAATGGCCATGAAAATTTTAATTTTTTCGAACAGCAGATATCAGCAAACTTGGATTATAAAAAATTCTTCAAATGAATTCCCAAACAGTCTCGACTTCATTTCCTTTCCGCTTACAAGACTATAAAATTTTTCATAGATTGAGTTTCATAGACAATCACAATTCCATGAATTAATTTCCGTTCAAAAAACCGTTCGACACGTCACATGAAAGTTAACAAGAATCCAAAAGAATAGTTGAATAGCATTCGCGAGCGTCACATGAATACAATTTCTGGAAATGAAGGACTATCTGGGTTGACCCTATATTTTGATTGCATCCCAGATCCCCTGGGGCCAGAGCCCAACGTTGGAATGTTCATCGAGGATCACAAGAAGCGTGCTGACAGCGATCCAAATGCTCCACCCTTTGACGATCTCCGAAATTATGCGTACGAAGGTGGTGGCAGTACTGCAGGCTCCCTATCATCGTTAGCATCGGGTAAAAGTCTCTAATCTTTTTTCCTGGCTAACCACGTACGAAAAAATTTAATAGAAAACTTTAGCGAATTCACAGGATAAGAAAAACCTTAGCGAAAGGTCACCGAATAAGGGTTACGAGGGTCAGAATAAAGGTCATAAGGGTCAGAATAAGGGTCACGAAGGTCAGAATAAGGGCTATGAGGGCAGAATAACCATCACGAGGGTCAGATTAAGGGTCACAAGGGTCAGATTAAGGGTCACGAAAGGCTGATTAAGGGTCACGAGGGTAAGATTAAGGGCCATGTGAGTCAGACTGAGGATCACAAGGGTTACATATTAAGGGCAAGAATAAGGGTCACTTGGGTCAGGTTAAGGGTCGTATGGGTCAACGTGAGGGTCGTATGGATCAGATTAAGGGTCAACATGGTCAGAATAAGGGTCATGGGTGTCAAAAACCAAGGTTCAAAAACTAAGGATCGCCAGGGTCAAAATAAGGCTCACGGAGGTTATAATGAGGGTCAGGTTAAGAATTCACATAAGAATTACAAGGGCCAGATTGAGGGCCCAAATAAGGGTCATGAGGGTAAAAAACAAAGTGTCAAAAACTAAGGTTCATCAGGGTCAAATTGTGACCCTGATGAGTCATTGTTTACAGATAAGGGTCACAAGGGTCAAATTAAGGATGACAAAGGTCAGATTAAGGGTCATAATATGGATCATGGGTGTCATATGGGAATCATATGGGGGTTGACGAGCGGAGGGAGCAGGAGGCGTAGCTCCCTAGTTCATTTAGAAAAATTGAAATCAATCAACTTTTTCCTATCAAATATCTCGCAGAATCAGCGCAAAAAACAAATAGAATTTCAACAGGAATTCCAAAGAATTCCAATAAACTGCTCCAGCGAATTCGCTAAGTTTTTCGATTAAATTGTTCCATACATGACCCCAACCCCCACAACCGAGCAATTCATTACAATCACAATTCCGTTAAATTTCAGGCACCGATGACGAACAACACGAGTACGAGTATCTGGGCGCATGGGGACCGAGGTTCGACAAACTAGCAGACATGTATGGCCCAACCGAAGAGAGCGAGGAAGAAGAATAAAAAAATATTCAATTCGTCTCGTAGGTCTCATTAACTATAAATAACGAATGATGACAGAAGCATCATGAATTCGTGGAAAAAAATCGAAAGATTGCGAGAAAGTATAGAGAAAGAACTAAATTGTAAGTGAATGTAAGTTAAAACATTAGTCATGCCCAAAAAGATGAGAGAAAATAAAAAAAAAGGTCATTCTTGTTCCAAAAACCAGAAGAGCACGAAACTTTGCAATAATTATAAGCTCATAAAACAAAAAAATATTTATTAACTGCACCAAAAAACCTGAGATGCATGAAAATACGTGTACTATGCCCAAGAGTATGTAAGACTTTTGTATAAATTCGTTTATTTATTTATTCGACTTAAGGAAACGATGAAAAGCTAATTGTTAGAATTTTTTTTATAATTTTTCTTCTCATTCATTGATCATCATTCATCAATCACCAAAGTATATTGTATCGTCCTACGTCTTTCGTCAACGACTCAGTGTTCGGTTTTTTCTACCGATGCGTTTTTTAATTAAATGGAGGGAAGGAAAAAAGCTAATGAAACGATATGAAAAAAAAAAATAAACTCTAAAATATTTTTAAGAAGAAGAACAAAACCACATACCAAAGAACAATCGCTGATAATGCGTTCATCTTTTTTATACGTAATAGTTAAATGAATGAAGGTCTCAATTTTTAAACAACAACATTTAATTGTGTCCCTCAACATTTAATTTTCTTTTCTCTTTGATGAAGAAAATAAAACACAAGAACGATAAACGAATTTATTATATATTTACTGTTGAGACAGTTAAATAATTATTATTGATATGAAAGAAAAACAAAAAAACATTAGATGTTTGAGATGTGCGCCGTGGCATGTAATGGAGTATTATAGTTTCTTCGCCACACTTTCATCGTGGCTTCGCCATAACTAGATGAATATAAAGAAAGAAAAAACTTGAAAAAAAAAATTATAATCGATTAATTCACAATTTCCACTTCTTTGTCACGAGAAAAATATGAGAAAGAGAAATCGTAAAATTCCCATCGCCATTATTAGAAGTATTATTGTATGATTATCGATATTATTACGTAATATATGAATATTTATATTAGATTACGCGCAAGGGAGCCACAGAACGCAGAATCATCAATGAGCCTGATGAATGATACTATCGAAACGTGAAAAACGATAAAGAACGAATTTTTAGGGATTAAACTAATGACAATGGTAATTAGCTCAATGGCATCGTCATTCAGTGTCGAAATTAGCCATTAAATGACAAAGATCCATGAAAATTCAAGCACTAATGATTAATCAAGTGTTTAATTACCCGATTAATCTCTCGATATCGACTGATCAGTGAAAAATTTCCATGGAAAAACGAGGGAATTCATTACCCAGGATAATTCATAGTCAATTTACCGATCTAGGGCGGTCCACAGTGAATAAAATTTAATCCATAAATAAGTGGTACATACGAAGAAAAAAAAGAATGTGATCGATGTACGAAGATATGTAATTATATTAATTCACTCGACGAAGAAGAAAATGAGGGAAATCACGAATCTAAAGAAGTCATAATAATTCGTCGGAATACTTATACAGTTAAAGCCAGATTATTGTATAATTATCCTACACTCATTATCGTATTTAATTATAGTTTTTTGCGATTTGTGATATTAATTTTTTTCGCGTATACGCTGTCCCCCATAAAGTGGAAAAAAAGTAAAAAACCCTCTTCCTAGTCTATCGTATAAATTAGTGTAAGATTGAATGTTTTCTTCAGAAGAATCCTACGAATCTCTTCCACAAATCCCTTCCCGCAGTTCAGAGACGTAAAAATCTTTGAGAAAACCTTCACACTTCCCCCAACTTCTTAAAATTCATTTAATCCATTCGAGACAAAATTTCATTTCCCCTTTGTTTTCCATTTCTCTCGTTTCCGAACTGAACCAAAAATTCTGAAGTTGAAAAAACCCGTAGTGTATAAGCAGCGAGACAGTATTTCCACAGACTGGCATTAGTGAAAAAAAAAGGCAAGAGGAAAAGGTAAATATAAAAAAAGAGATAAAATAATAAAAAAAATACATAGAAAAACAAAAAAGGTTTTATCGTTATATATGAGTTACGCCTACGTGCGTGTGTGCAGTGGCATTAAATTAAAAGAATAATAATAGTTAGATGACTGTTGTGTATGTACATTAAACGAGTCGTTATGGATTTTATTATTGAATTAATCGCGCTCCCTCGCCCTCACCCATTCACCCCCCCACAAGACAGTATCTCACTCGATTCAATGTCATCAGGAGTCCTCTCCCTTCACTCACAAATGTATATACGTAATGTAAGCCAATTGGAAAGATGAAGTACATACGTCCAAGTGGAATTATTAATAAAAAATATTTCATGCACATGATTGAATTATTAATCAGCCTTATCAATTACTCATTCACTTGAGATCCTGCGGAGTCATTTGCGTAATTAAATTCCCACTGCATTTTCAATTTCGTTATTTATTTTCATCCGTGGAGATGTTGATTTTCATGGACCTGGTCATGGACGATTGAAAAATTGACTAAAAAAATTGGAGAATTGATGACAAAAATTACATATCCATGATCCCTTGACTGCCTAATTATTGAAATTTTATTGGGATTGAATGAAGATATTGAATCGAGAGTGAAACGCTCAAGTAGTACCTCGAACATATTGTAAAGCCCAGACGAATGAATAAAATAAAATGAAAAATGTTTTAACCATAGCCGTCGTTGAGATATAAAGAGTCACACTGTAATATGTATATATGCTGCCACTGAACACATCTCATTAGTACAATTATCAATTATATAAATAATAATGAAATAAACAATCTATACATTATAATCGACAAGATGATGAAAACCAACAACAAATACGTATTATCAAATTGAATTGATATTAATTGATTATTAATTATAATTATTATCACTATTATCTATACCATTTGTACGTTATACTTCAGTTTCGGACGAAAATAAAAAATGCCTTCTTTTTAATAAAAAGGATAAATAGTATTTTTGGGTTGTGGTTGTTATTTATGGTTTTTGGGTTAATTTTGGGGGTATTACATTTATGGACTTCGTCTTCGGCTTCTACTCCGTTGTTTTTTTCGGCCGCTGGGCTTCGAGGAGGACTGGTGGCTTTCGATGGGGCTTTTGTAGGGACATCTTTCTCTGGGGGAGGCTTTTCGGAGTTCGGAGAGGATTCTTTGCCAGAGCCTCTTTCTTGCGTAATCCGCGAAGTCGAGGGTTCCACATTCACTAGGAGATATTTGTTGATGTTATTTTTTTAGAGGGAAAGTCATTGAATTGGGGGGATCAATCAATTGAGAGAACTAAAGCTGTGATTAATTACTTAATTAATTCATTAGCCAGTTTCAATTGAATTTAAACGGACTAATGAATTAATTCTTTAGTCATTAATTCATTCATTAATCAGTTGAAATTGAAAGTTTGCGTTAATTTAGATTTTACTAGAAATTGTGCGTGCGACATTGCAGTATTTTTTTAATGCAACAAACTGTGTTTTTTCGTTTATTCACGAGAGGTGAAAAGAATTTTCAATTGGGAATTTTAATTGACCCTAAAAAATAGCGTTATTTAAAGTAAAGAAAAACTCCGTCGTTCTCAGATTTCACTGGTAATGCAATGAATTTTTGTAACATAAATATTTGGTAGTAAATAACGCTGAATTGCTAATGAATCATCATTGTCAATTATAATTATCATTATCATTGAATCATTGAACTAAAATTTATAATTTCCATTGAGTTTTCCGTGAAATTTAAAATTTTCAATGATGAAACTCCTCGAGTTTCATTTCAATCTCAGGTTAAAATGTTGGCAGTAGAAACGGACCGGTGTGACCAGACAACGCAGAAATCATCACATTAATTCCTCGATAACCATTGATGTTACACCCGGAGAAATAATTTAAAAAGGTTTACATATTTAAATAGCTAATAAAATCAAAAGTGAATTATCCTTACTCTATAATCCCCTTATTAACTGCATTACATTGAAATTCCACGGATAGTTGACTGATAATTTCCAGGAATCCAATATTGAATTTGATTCAAGGAGAAAAAAATCGTGAAACTTCAGATTTTACTGATAATGCAATAACATTCCATGAATATTCAGTAGTAAATTAGGCTGAATTTTCAATGATGAAACTCCTTCAAATTTCAGGGGAATGATAATACAATAAAAAATTCCAGTAAGTGTACAGGAAAATTACAGCTAAAAATTTTTGCAGTAGAAAAAGACGTGTGTGGCAAGACAACCATTACAAGAAATCATTACATTAATTTCGAATAATCTCGTTGACCATTGATATCCATTGACACCCAGAGAAATGTTTAATATTAATCAAATAAAGGAGTTTATTTAAATAGCCCCCAAGAAAGTAAAAAATGAATTATCATTATTCTATAATCCCATTACAGAACGCATCACATCGTCGAAAAACACAGCAATTCCATAAAGTGTACAGGAACTTTCTGGGAAAAATTTTTCACAGTGTACCTACTTGTACATCGTTAAATCCAGTGCCCTTGTCACATGAATAGACGTCAAAAAAAATGCGACACTCATACCGAAACTCGTGGCCATCATGGGTAATTGATTCGAGACGATCCATTCAGCGGCGTCATCATAATCCAGACTGTTCAACGTCTGAAATTTAACACTCAATTGAACTTCCCCTCAAGCTCCAAAAATTTAAGGGAAGATTACTCTGAGTTTTTAAAGTCGCGGATTGTTGGAATATAATTTCTCATACATTAAAGATCGATTATATGTCTGAAAATGAATAATTAGTGAAAAAATTAATTGTTTATTGTTCGTTTGCCGCGCAGACGCTTAAAATGTTAAAAATAGTCCAGGGCTTCCAATTTTTGAGCTACAGAGGTTTTTTTCAAAATTTTTGGAAAGATATGTGCAATAACAATTACGAATTCGTTTTTTAAATTCAACACCTACACAGCTAATGTCGTTATTTTTTTAATAAAAAATTGCACCATTCATGTAGAATAGCTCGAAAAATGTTTCTGAAAGAATCGAAAATACGTTTTAAATATTTTCAGGATAATTTTTATGCTGATTTACACGATAGGCGCAAATTTTTATTTAAAAAAAACGAAATTAGGTGTGTAGGAGTTGAATTTCAAAAAACTAATTCTAAAACTAATAGAATAGCCCGGGGATAATACAGAAAAAACTAATTCGTAATTGTTATTGTACACAATTTTTTCAGAGATGAAAATTGCACGAAGTTTTTTCGTTTGATTTTCTTGATGAGAAGAAAAGAAAAATAGAATGAAAAAAACGTACAAAATTTGAGTCGAGCAAATTCTATAGTAAATATATGAAAAGAATAAGTTATATAGAAAGATAGAATTCTATTGACTTTTTCTACTGAATATTTCAATAGAATCGCCCAAAAACTAATAGAAAGTTTAACAGAAAGTCAATACAATTTTCCAACGAATTCGATAGTTTTTTCTATTGAATTTTTTCGTGCGTGTGTAAATAAAATAAATTTTTGTAGTTCAAAAAGTAGAGGCCCTGGATTATTTGCAACATTTTCAGCGTGTGCGGGTAATCGAAGAATAAACAATTAATTTTTTCGCCCTAATTATTCGTTTTTAGACACATGTAATCGATCTTCAATGTATGAGAAGTCTCACTCCAATCGCCCGTGACTTTTAAAACTCATAGTAGTCTCCCCTTAAGGATAGTAGAAAGATCGATGGAATTACGTTACGTGGCAAATGGCTTTTGGGAGTCTCGTCATTATCATCACATCAATCGGAGTCCAGATGCACGTCGCGGAGAAATCCAGAATGAATGAGGTAGCAAAAAACTTGAGACAATCAACGCATTTTAAATCGCTTCGCCACTCATTAAATAATTTTCATGATGAATAGATAGAATCGTACCTCATAAAGACAGAGCATTGAAGCCGACGGTTTTTTGAACGTCGATGGAAGCATCGAGATGTTGGTGGTGATGATGTAAACCCCAGAGACAAATATACAGGAGGTTAATCGCGGTCCGGTCAAGACAGCCTCATCTTCGTCATCATTGTCCCTCACTAAGTTGTATAAACACGGTTGAAAAATGGATATTCCTGATAAATACAAAAGGAGAGACCAAATCGTACAGAGAACTTTTGTCATTTACTCAGTTTTCTAACCATTTTTTTTCGAGAATTCATGTCATTTTTGACAACAGAAATGGGAAAAACAAAGAAGAGTGGAATTTTCAGTCCAATTCTTATCGATTTCAGTGGGAGAATGCAGCAGAACAGGGCAGTTCAAGTCAATTCTTGTCATCACAATTATACAATTATTTTAATTAATGCAGGGTTATTTTAATTAATGACGGGTTAACGTCAAAAGACATTTTTCGTCAGTAATTTCTGTCTCTACAGAAAAAGTTTGATAATTTTTTCTCTTAAAACCACTCATTTCGGCGATAAAAAAATAAAATATACATAATTAAACAAAAATCTCGATCAAGAAAGATTTTGATAAAGGAAAATAATCGATATTTCTAATTTACTGTTGAAAATTTATTAGCAAAATAAATATACCATATAAAGACGAGAGCAAATTGCCACTTATTTCTCTTGATACTCAGCTGTGAGAAACAATAGGGATGTGCTAAAAAAAACAAAACAAATTACATCAATATACAAATAATTTTCTGAAAATTTAAAGAAAAAAAGTTTTGTTAAGAAGAAACAAGTGGGAAAGTGCTCTGGCATTGCATATCGTACAGATAATTTTACTGATAGTTTCCTTCAATCATGTATAATTCATTGTTTATTTAATTTTATTAAGTTGAACAAAATTTCTTTTCAACTAATTTTGTCAGATTGTCAACTTAGTTGAATGTTATCTTCATCATTATTCTTATTATCCCTTTCTTCTATACAACCGATTGTCTTTTTTACAGCTCTATCTCTCTCTTCAGTCCTTCGATAAAATGTTAATAGAAAAATTTTATTTACACATGCTTGAATGAATTTGAAACATCGCAATGATTTCTCCATTAGAGTCTTTAATTAAAAAAATTACACAAATTAATTATTTTTCTTGACAAAAAATGGATTTGTGAATCATTTATGAAAATTTATTAAATCTCGAAAATCCTAGATGTCATGAGTCCGTAGATGACCGTGATATGGAGTGCCGTGCGGCATCATAAAAGAACCAATCGGTGACCTCAGGATCCTCGAAACAGATCCTCCGTTTCCTCAGACGCTTTCTAAACAGCCTCGACACCTTAGCCTCCACTCTGAACACAAAATATTCTGGCTGGATGCTCCAAGAGTGTTACGGCTCAACGATAACCACAAGAAATTGAAATTTTTAAGGTATTACTACTTGGCCCAGCTATCGAGGATGGCATCGAGGGACTCTGTGGCGTCTAGCATCCAGACGAATGAGAGGACCGACATGCAGAGACTCATGTGAGTGACCGCGTCTTCTTTCGTCAGGTAGTAGGCCACTTGGGTTACGGGGGAGTAACTGTCAAGACCGGCGTATGAGTTGATCCAATAGAGCTGCTCAACAGCAAAATTATAGAAATTATAAAAATTATAAAAATGATAAAAATCGATTATAAAAATTAATTGATCAAGTGGTAAAATTAGACAAACCAATTCTACTCTAGAATTTGAAGGGAATATAACAGAATTTCTACTCTTATCTTTACCATTTTTTACTCTTATTTTGACGAATAAAAAAATTCGGTAGCAAAGCGATAAAACGGTTAAAGTAGATTTGACTATTGGTCAGTTTTCAATGACTATCTCTAGATCTGAGGCAAATAGCAAAATTTTTGTTATAACCTTTTTTGTAGAGTAGATTGAGGGCTACAAAAAAGGTAATAACAAAAATTTTGCTATCTCCCTTACATTTCGAGATATTCAGTGAAAACTGACCAATAGTCACAATTGACTTGAATCGTTTTACCGCTTCGCTATACTGAATTCAAGAGGAGAACCTAGTAAATTCTCAAAATAAAATTTATTTAAGGATGTACTCTACCCTTTCGGCCAAAATTCACGTTTTTTTAATTTTTCTGGCAAATTATTGATCGGATTGACGCGAAATAATATACCGTATTTGCGTTTTGTCATTATTAACTGACTCACGAAGTTTCATGGTAGTGCAATCATTTTCTTGCATTTTTTCTAAAGCTTTGTGAATTTCCGAAAAATTTTAGAAAAAGCGCAGAAAAATGATTGCACGATCATGAAATTTCGTGAGTCATTAAGTAATGATAAAACACAAAAACAATAATTTGCAAAACGCATAAAACAATAATTTGCCAGAAAAATTTTAAAAACGTGAAGTTTCACGAAAGGGTGTAATACATCCTTAAATTTTATCAGTATTTTTATGATACAGAATGGTTGCATTGAGTGTAGGAGTGACTCTTTCTACTCACGAATTTGCTCGATTCTTGGGTGAGACACCAGAGTGAACTTATCATCGGCATCCAGACGGCACGAGTCGATAAATTTGTCACCAGTGCTGCTACGAGCATCTAAAATTGACACAAAATTATTACAATAAAGTTCTCGACTGAGACGAGTCCTAAATTGAAGTGCTATTCAGGAAACGCAAATTGAAAAAATCCCCCGGGAGACTTTTTTATGGAGTATTTTAGGAACTACAACCGCTTGTCTCTGATTAATTTCTTCAAACCTCTTAATGTCTGAGATATTTGTAATATAAATTAATCATTAATTTTCTATTCCCTCCTTGTTCAACTCTGCTGCAAACTCATTCTTGAAGAAATGACGCAATTAAATTTTTTGAGCAGGGAGAAACGAATAAAATATCTTCGGTAGGCGCAGTAGAAAAAGACCTGTGTGGCAAGACAACGCATCGGTCCATCTAATTCATCACATTAATTCTTGATTATGTCCCTGACAATTGACATCACACCCAGAAAAATGGTCCACTTCACTTAAATAGACTCAGTTCGAATCAAATAAATTAATGAATTCAAATTGTTCGTAATAATTTTTTTTGAATTTTACGTTGAATTTTATTTGCGTTTCTATTCATATAAAATAAATCCCTTGTTAAATATAGACAGCCCTTCTCTTAATGGAAATGAAAATTTATTGGTTAGAAATAAAATTATTGTTTAAACTACAGAGAAAATAAATTTATAAACATGTATGAATCAATTAATTATTAATTTCATACAATTCATACTCATCGGAATAAATATTGAAAAAAAAATTATTGACTTGATTTTTTATTCTGAAGCATATCACTTCATCAATGTATTATCCTCTTCGATTCTTTCCGATCAAATAAATGGCAAATTAGGCTCAAAACAAAATCCTTTATTTTGCATTTTTCAATTAATCACAACATTTTTGTTTGAAATTAATCAACTCAGATGTTCATTTTAATGAAAATGTTTCGATTATATGGAATAAATAATACATTCATTTCGTCCAAATAAAAGATTATTAACCGACTGAACGATATTTAAATTTTTAATTAATTAATTAATTTTAAAGGGTCATGAATTTTCACTTTTTTCGTTTTTTACCTCACAACAAACTCATTGTTGAAGAGATAACGCAATTGAATTTTTTCAAACACCGAGAAGCAAATACAATATCTTGTGCAGGTGCAGTAGAAAAAGACATGTGTGGTAAGACAGCATACGCTGATCTAACTCATCACACTAATTTTTTATTGTGCCCCTGATCATTGATATCACACCCAGAGAAATGGTTCATTTCAACTAAATAAATTTATCAACATATATTAATCAATGACTTATTTATTTCATATAACCACAACATTCCCATTGGAATGAATTGGTAGGTTTATCAATTTTAACCAAAAATATTGTCGAAATGAAAAATTAAAATGAAAAAAATGCTCTCGAAAAACATTACCTGAAGTTTTTTTCTCAAAAATTATTTAATTATCAAATACTTTATATTCAATTCGACAATTTCACCACCTGACCACACATGTCCTTCTCAAACACCCCAAATAAATATTTGACCCACAAAAATGACTAAATTTCCTTCCAACCTCCGACCAAATTCATTCAGCACAAGAAACTCGTATTTTCATCGTGAATAAAACCCAAGTCTTACCTCATAAATATACAACAATTGCACCGGTGGTTCTTTGAGTGAAGAAGGCCAGGGTTTGAACTCAGCGAGTAGGGACAGAACGGAAAATGTAAAGATGAGAGAAGCATAGGTCGGTTGAAAAGGCGCGAGGTTTTCATTTTCAAAGCACAATCCTATTATACAAATTTGCCTGATGTGAGCGTACATCCCTGCGCCGACCATCGCTATCCAGTGGGGATTTATGCACTCGATGCAGTCTTTCACTGCGTCCATTTTGCCTAGCTCTGGTGAATCATAGAAGGATTTTGGCTCTCAATGACCTCGAAATTTTCCTTTTTCAATTTCTAAAATTGTTGACTTGACGAGGTTAACTGGAGTCGAGTGCGAAAGCGATGCAACTTCAGACCGAAATTCCATTTTTTGTTTTGGGATCGAACTACGAAAATTAGAAAATGATTTTCAGACTCAGGAGTTGAACTATTATCGATCAGATTTTCTTCGCTCGGAATGATTGATAGATCAGCTCTTGGGAATCCCCTCTTGGGTGTCAGGCGTGTCCCCCGGAAGGTGAAAATATATATGGCGACAAGGGTAGAGCCATAATGGAATTTCCTTGTACTCCTTTATCCTTTCATTCCTTCTATTACTACGTGATCATAATTACTTCAGTTTCATCTTTGCAATTAAATAAAGATGGGGAGCCTTTATGGAAATCATTCATAGCGGAAATCCATTTGAAAATTCCATTATAACATGAAAATATTGTTTTTTTTTCAAAAACATGTGTTGTTTGCCAAAAGGAGGTTCACTCCGGGGAGAAACTTTTTCGTTTTTCAAAAAAAAAATTAAAAAATAGTATTTCCACGCAACTTTCTACTATTTTTTGGCTGATTCTATTGACATATTCAATAGAAAACATTCAATAGAAAAAGTCAACAGAATTCGATTTTTCTATACAACTTATTCTTTCCATATATTTTATTTTATTTTTTTTTATTTTGCTCGATTCAAATTTTCCAAGTTTTTTCACTCTATTTTTCTTTTCTTGCATTCGTAAAAATAAAAATATAAATCACCTTTACCATCCAAAGAAGCATAATTCACTCAAAAAATCCCTCTAACAATGCCCAAGAGTTCTATTGAAAAAATCCACTCGCTAAATCCCAACTTTCACTGATAAGACTCTTCCGCACAATAGAATACAGAAACGCCAACCACATAAGTAGCCCATCGGCCCCTTCATCCATAATGCATCGCATTTGGAGATGGGTTTTCCTCCCGGAGAGGAAGAATGACGACAAGTGGCATACGTTTATCCTCCCCATACGTGTACTACTGGCCGACCGCAGCAACATAAATAAATATCAAGGAGATACCTGAGGAGAATGATTGCACCCTCGACAATTCATTGCCCAAGTGAAGACGATGAGTTGCACGTAATTAATAGCTCTGATACTGTGATATCACATTTCAAAGTCTGCGGATGAACGGTCTGGTGCTTTGACGGGGGCTTTGTTGAGACGAGAATTGAATTGAAGGCACAGAGGCAGCATTCGACCGTGGAACTTCAGGAAATTGTCCTTTGATTATTATCCCCTTTTACCGAGGTCTCATTTCCAGACTGTTAATTCTCTTTCACTTACAGACTGTTCTACTGTTCTTGATTCTGAGACGTGTCGTTTTATTAATTTATTTCTGTTTTGAATTATTTCTAGTCCAATAAATTAGACACTTAAATCAACGAAAACCCTTTATTTTGCATTTTTGAATTAATTACAACATATTTTTGTTTGAAATTAATAAACTCAGGTTTTCATTTTGATGAAAAGATTCTAATTATTTGAAAAAAATAATGCATTCATTTCGTCCCAATAAAGGATTATTACATGTTGATAAATTCGTTCTGTTCGCCGTTTTAACAATACGTTAATTTTTCATTGATAAATATTCCCTTTGGGCCGAGGAAACATTCATTTATATTCAGATAAGTATTTATTCAATTTATGTGAATGACAACGCAAATCAAAATCAAGTGAAAGTTCGAAGAAAACAAATATGATTTGAGAACTAACTCATGCATTTTGAGGATTCAATTAGATTCAAATGAATTATTCCCTCTATTTAATTATGCTTCTTGTTTGGAGTAGAGAAATATTTCATGTAGTTCATGATGAATCTGAGTGGTTGGACGATGAAGCAGTATAGAAAAATGAATGCATGTACATACTCATCAATCAAGCCATTTCTGATTTAAAGTGATTCAATCTTGATGACAATGATCCTCCAGGATGCTCTATCATTAGCTGATTTGGAAAACAGCAAATTTTGTGTGCTGTGCATCAGGCGGGATTTGAACCCCAGTCTTCAGATAACTGGACTAACGCTCTTACGAATCGAGCTACCACATATTCTCTCTCAAGTCATTTTTCTTTGCCCTCAAGTGGTAACTTTATAACAATCAGATTCCTGCAATATAAAACTAGAAAAAAAATTATAAACAATATCTTATAACTTATAGCGTATTTTGAAAATTGAATTAAACCCAAATGAATGATTCACTTTATTTATTTATTCTTCTTCTTTCGAGTAGAAAAATATTTCTTTAAGGTGATACTAAATCTGATTGGTTGGAAGATGAAGTAGCATGGAAAAATGAATTGTGTGCATTGAAAACGAAGATACACCAGAACCCAGATGATGTCTTACAGTGATTCAAAGAATCTAATTTATCATCATGATAAAGATCCTCAACATCCATATCATTAGCTAATTTAACAAGCCGAAAATTTTCTGTATTGTGCATCAGGCGGGATTTGAACCCCCCAGCCTTCAGATAACTGAACTTACTGGACTTTAACGCTCTTACCAATTGAGCTACCGCACATCCTCTCTCAATTAATTTTCCTCGCCCCTCAAATGGTAACTTTATAACAATCCGATTTCTGTCATATAAAACTAACAAAAAAATAATAATAATATCTTATAACATTTGGGCTCAAGTCTCTTAACATGATGACGAGAATTGTCTCATGCATTTTGAAAATTGAATTAAAAACAAATGAATGATTCGCTTTATTTATTCACCCTTCTTCTTTCGAGTAGAAAAATATTTCTTTAAAGTCATGATAAATCTGATTGGTTGGAAGATAAAGCAGCATGGAAAAAAGAATTGTGTGCATTCTCAACTTCCATATCATTAGCTGATTTGAAAAGCAGAAAATTTGCTGTATTGTGCACCGGACGGGATTTGAACCCCCAGCCTTCAGATAACTAAACTTACTGCACTAACGCTCTTACGAATTGAGCTACCGCACATCCTCTCTCAATTCATTTTCCTCGCCCCTCAAATGGTAACTTTATAACAATCCGATTTCTGCTGTATAAAACTACCCGGAATATCGAGAGAAGACGAGAAGAGTTGGCCCAATCATCGCAAAAGTGCAAGATCCCGCTGATTATCCACCGGGAACTCGTAGTCATGGTGACGGCACAGAGCGCTGCAGAACAGAACAAAGACACAATTTTTTTCCACTCATTCCTTTTTTTATCAATCGGCGTAAAACGAGAGAGAAAAGTCAGTGGGAGGAAAACGTCACGGGGCTTTAAATGAAAAGTCCTTCCCTCGGTGCACTACTTCAACCCCTTTATCCTCCTTATGTTTCAGTGGAAAATGAAGGCTCGAGTCGGGCAATGCCACTCCCGCACACACGTCCCCTTGGGACACCGCGATTAGATACTTCAAAGCGTCTTTCTCTTTTTCCTGTTCTTTCTTCGAGGAGAAGTGGAGGGATAAAGCGGGCGCCTTGAATTTATTCCGGGGTGGGAAGCACGTCGTATATCAAGTGTATTGGTGAGATAAGGGCGCATAAATGTGCAATTTATTTCTTGGATTCTGAAGTAAATAATACCCGATGCAATTTTTCATAGTTTTTTATGTGTACATCTGGAGAAATGACGCACTTGAATTGAATAAAATCCTTCATTTGGAATATTCGTGTTTATTTTAGCATTATTTTCGTCAATAAATAATTCATTAATTTCAAATAAATTCGTTTTTAGAATCACATAACTAATTTATTTGATTTAAATGAAGGATTTTTACTATACGTACATTCAGTCTTTACTTGGATCAAGAAAATATTTGTTTACGTTGAAAAAACTAGTCATTTTATGAGTATGAAAACGTGAATAAAAATCTATCAAAACATTTTAGATGATTCAAAGGAACTTTCAACAGAGGCTGTACAAAATTTTTTAGTATTATGTGAAAATGAAACAGTAGAAAGTATTCGGAAGAAAGTTAAATTAACACGTATTCATTCAAATAATCCCAGCATTTTTCACAATTTTATACTGATGGAATTGCTGTGCACACCTGTTACAGCATAATCAAAGAAACTAAAACAAAATAATGACTATAATTTCATTGACACGTGCAATAAGGCTCCAATTTGTTGCTCCACAATGTAAGGTCGTAGACCAAAAAGCTTCTTTATATTAAAAATAAAAGTATATGAACAACAATGCTGGATACGTTTAACAACCACTCTATCTTGCAAAACCGATTTATGTGATCTAACTAAAAAAATATTACGTGTCTTTAAAATCTTTATTTTGATGAAGGAAATATTTGTTTATATTGCAAAAGCTATTAATTTCATGGGAATAAAAACGTAAATAAAAATCTAACAAAAAGATTCATTTCATGTGTATAGAATAAAACAGTAGAAAGTGTTTGGAAAAATCCCAAATTAACATGTATTCATTCAAATAATCCGAGCAGTTTTCACAATTTTATACTAATGGAATTGCTGTGCACACCTGTTACAACATAATAAAAAAAAACTAAAACTAAATAATGATTATAATTTCATTGACACCTGCAACAAGCCTCCAACCGGTTGCTCCACGATGTAAGGTCATAGACCAAAAACATTCTTTATATTAAAAATGAAAGTACACGAACAACAATGCTTGATACGTCTAACGCCCACCCAATCTTGCAAAACCAATTTAATAGATTCAAATAAACGATTAACGTCCCTTCAAAGCCATTATTTCGATCGAGAAAATATTTGTTTATACTAAAAAAACCAATTCATTTCATGTGTATTAAATACAACAGTCGAAAGTGTTTGGAAAAATCCCAAATTAACATGTATTCATTCAACTAATCCGAGCATTTCTCACAATTTTACACTACTGGATTTGCTGTGCAAATTTGTTACAACATAATTAGAAAAACTAAAACAAAATGAATGACTATAATTTCATTGACACCTGCAACAAGGCTCCAACTTGTTGCTCCACGATGTAAGTTCATAGACCAAAAACATTGTTTATATTAAAAATGAAAGTACACGAACGACAATGCTTGATACATCTAACGCCCACTCAATCTTGCAAAACCAATTTAATAGATTCAAATAAACGATTAACGTCCGTTCAAAGACATTATTTCGATCGAGAAAATATTTGTTTATATTTAAAAAACCAATTCATTTCATGTGTATAAAATACAGCAGTCGAAAGTGTTTGGAAAAATCCCAAATTAACATGTATTCATTCAACTAATCCGAGCATTTCTCACAATTTTACACTACTGGATTTGCTGTGCAAATTTGTTACAACATAATTAGAAAAACTAAAACAAAATGAATGACTATAATTTCATTGACACCTGCAACAGGGCTCCAGCCTGTTGCTCCACGATGTAAGGTCATAGACCAAAAACATTCTTTATATTAAAAATGAAAGTACACGAACAACAATGCTTGATACGTTTAACAACCGCTCCATCCCCCAAGGACACACGCAAGTTTCCCATGCATTAGATACATGCAATCAAAAGTTTATCCTTGAATCCACTATTTCACCAGCCAATTGAGTTTGCCTGGCTGAAGCAGGCTTGATTGGTCCGGCGAAATTGAATGGAGAAGCAAGAGAAACGACGGAGAGAAGTATTCTGATATTTCCCTTGCAGGTAGCGTATGGCAAAAATTTAATTCTCTCGGTTAACTCTGATTCCTCTTTAAGGCAGTTTCAGCAAAATAGCCCTAAATTTCCCTCGCTCTTTTGAGTCTCAGGAAAACGGTCGTTAACTCAATTTGTCGGGAGCTATGAATCTACTCGTGGAGCATAACAGGGTTATACGCGCAAATTGTGAACAGAAGCGTCGATAAATGTACTGTTGAGTCAACAGAGGGTGATGCGAGAGGAGTTGACGATATTCAGACATTTATGCAGAATACATTGTTGAAAAATTTTGATGAATGTTTGCAGTAAATTAATTAATCATTTTATTACAGTTCCGCTGACATTTCAGGAAATATGAGAATCATTGAAATTTCTAATTTTTTGGGGAAAATCAATGAAAAGTGAATATTTTTGTTCAGTTATTCCAGGGGAATTAATAGACATCAGGAAAATTCTGGTAAATATTCTCAATTAATTAAAAATGCAGCGTAATAAGGCACTGAATATTCATGTTTTGATTGACGATTCAAGTAAGTTGGGAATAATTAATTAAGAAGTTGGTGAAACCATTACTTTCATTAATGACTTATTAAATCGAATTCAATGTCACTCTCCTGAAAGTTACTAATGAACTGTCCATTAAATTTCAATTTTTTTGTTGTCTTTATCTTTCATTCACTTTCCTAGAGAAAGATAAGGATAAGATATCTGTCATTTCATTTTCTCTTCAAATTGTGTTTTTTCAATGACGAGAATTCCGGAAATTCAAGTGAATGTCTCCGATGAAAAATTCCGGACACGTGCACTCACATTCTCCGTCCGAGCCAAATGGAAAATGTCAAAGGTAAATCACTCGAATATCGATTTTTATCCGGTTTTTCAGCATTCATAAAACCAAATTCTGCAGGAATAAGGAAAAAACGTTTTGTTGCATAAAAATATTTTATGGACACATTTCAATAGGATTTTCTTCACACCTGAACAAACTTTTTATTTTTTGTTGAACATATAAGTTTATCTCGACAAATGCATCGATTTTTTCCCCATTTTATTGTGTCTTTTAATTTTCCAGATTTAAGTTGATTTTGATCGAATGTCCCGTAATTAATTCTTAGAACAGATATCATGTATTTAAACTATCGGCTATCCCTTTTTATAAGTTAATTATTACGTTTGAATGATGGATTTATCAAAGCCTAATTAAAGTCTAATTTTTTAATCAGACTAGTGACTTTTAATTCCCAATACGTTAATTTTATCGTCAACGAATGGAAAACATTCCACCACGTCTGTTTTATTTTCCATTTTTAGAAGAAACAATAAATTCGAAACAATAAAATCACACCAAATGCATCAATTTCCTGCAGTTCTTTTTATTCCGATCCATTTTATTTCCGTCATTTTCCCATTAATCGAATTGATTAATCAGGATAACTCATTTCCCTTCCCTCATTGCAAATTTTCATCCATTTATTATTATTTTTATTATTCAATAGTAGATTGACCCAAGCAGACAAGACAGGACAACAATGGTAATCAATTGGAATGACAAAAGCCAAGTGTCAGGACTCAATACCAAACCCCCGACATCCTGCAACCCCCATCAACTCAATTACCATCGAAAAAATTGTGAATCGACATGCGTTGAATTTTCGCTATATAAATACATCACCATACATAAGAATCAAAATCATACAATTCCTGTATTTCTTCAAGCTCTTTCCCTTAGCGAAAAAACAACGTTATGTCTGATTTTTTAATCAAACTACAGACTTTGAATTTCTAATACGTTAAATTTTTTGTCAACGAATAGAAAACACTCCTCCACATCCGTTTCATTTTCCATTTTTAGAAGAAACAATAAATTCCGATCGATTCTATTTCCATCATTTTCCCATTAATCGAATTGATTAATCAGGATAACTCATTTCTCTTCCCTCATTGCAAATTTTTCATCCATTCACTATTATTTTTATTATTCAATAGTAGATTGACCCAAGCAGACAAGACAGGACAACAAGGGAAATCGATTGGAATGACAAAAGCCAAGTGTCAGGACTCAATTGCCATAAAAAAATTGTCAACCGACATTCGTTGAATTTTCGCTATATAGGGGAGGATGGGGCAAAACGGCCCCCCTTCAATCGTCAATATTTTCCGATTCAATAATCCGATTGAGATGAGTTAGAGCTCGTTTCGAAGAATGAAAAATTATCTTCAAAATGAAGTTGAAACTGGGAATTTTCACAATGTCATTCACAAGTTATTGACAATTGAAGGGGGGCCGTTTTGCCCCACCCTCCCCTAAATACATCACCATACATAAGAATAAAAACCATGCAATGCCTGTATTTCATCGAGTCCGCTCCCTTGGCGAAAAGCAACGTTATGTCTGATTTTTTAATCAAACTACTGACTTTAAATTTTCAATACGTTATTTTTTCGTCAACGAATAGAAAACACTCCTCCACATCCGTTTCATTTTCCATTTTTAGAAGAAACAATAAATTCCGATCGATTCTATTTCCATCATTTTCCCATTAATCGAATTGATTAATCAGGATAACTCATTTCTCTTCCCTCATTGCAAATTTTTCATCCATTCACTATTATTTTTATTATTCAATAGTAGATTGACCCAAGCAGACAAGACAGGACGACAAGGGTAATCGATTGGAGTCAAGTGTCAGTACTCGATACCAAATCCCCGACATCCTGCGACCCCCATCAACTCAATTACCATCAAAAAATTGTCAACCGACATGCGTTGAATTTTCGCTATATAAATACATCACCATACATAAGAATAAAAACCATGCAATTCCTGTATTTCATCGAGCTCGTTCCCTTTGCGCGAGTAAATCTCGGCGATTCCATTGGCCAGAATATCCAGCGGTGGATGGGTATATAAACCGATAGCAGGAGAGTGGGGCTCCACATAAACCCTGACTGTACGAGCGTTTCGCGACACTGGCTTGCCGTCCACCACGCCAGTCACATATCACGTGTTGAAGATTCAAACTTTTTGTCCTTTCCCAACAGCCGAAAGTGATTGATAAATACGTCAGTATTTTGGGATATATTTTACATCAGTGAGTTAATTCGGCCCTTAGGCGATACACAACGTGAGTATTTTCATTGCTCAATCAATTTTTGCGCAATATTTTGAATTAATTGACAGGTGTTGACATTTATTTCTGGGATTAGTGGGGAGATTGCAAAATTCTATTGAGAATATTTTGATGATAGCTCTGAAACTATTGAATTTGCGGAAAATATTGAAAAATAAAATATTGAAAAAAAAATTTTTTTTTTAATTAAAAAAATATATAAATATTGAAATAAAATATTGAAAATATTGTTGTCTGTAGTTTATGAAATTCTGAATCAAAATTATTTCTCATATACAGAAAAAAAACTTGATTCAAGTATGTTTTATACTCGAATAGGGGATGGATGTTTCAATTCGAGGATGATTATCTCGTATCAGCCCGGGTCGTACCGAGCGCTCTCAAGTGTAATATAAGGGTCAGACACTAAGTGTGAGAATATAAGGGTCAAAAAGTGGAGGTTACAAAATGAGGGTCGGAATATTAGAGTAAAAAACTGAGGGCCTGAACGTAAAGGTGAAGGAATGAGGGTCAGAGTGTTAGAGTTAAAAAAGAGGGTCAGAATATTAGGATCAAAAAATTAGGGTCAGAATATAAAATTTAAAAAAGTGGGTGTCAGGCAATGAGGGTCATATAAGGGCTAAAAACGGCTATCACACATAATGTATGACTTATACTTAGACCCTCGTTGCCTGACACCCACTTTTTTTACTTTTATATTCTGACCCTAATGTTTTGACCCTCATATTCTGACTTTCATTTTTAAACTCCACTTTTTGACCCTTATATTCTGACACTTAGTGCCGGACCCTTATATTACGCTTAAAAGGGCTTGCTATAACCCGGCCTGATACAAAAGAATCATCTTCGCATTGAAATACCCATTCCCCAATCAAGTATATAATATACATGAAACAAGTAAATTTTATACTCAATTCAGGTGTATTTTTTTTGCAAACCATCACACAATAATTTTGGTCCAGAAATTTTTCTTCCGTTATTTTTCCTCGCGTTCCTTTCAATTTAATAAACTCTTCTAATCAATTCCAAGGCCTTCTCAATATTATTCAAATAAATTGAAGGGGATAAATCAATTAAAAAATACAGGATTCAAGCCACACTGATTTGTATATGTCCCTGGAACTCTAGAGTTTAGAATGTAATGGGAAAAGAAATCGTTGGGTATTTTTTCGTAACGCTCACCCTTGTGAGAATATTGCCGAAATAATTTCGATATCTGTCTTGAATTTATCCTTTAAAATTTTCACAATTCTATTTCAAATATTTTGTAAATATCCCTTCAACTATTGGGTTAATGAGGCAATATAAAACTTTTTCCATAGCCCATGTAATTCCCTACAAAACGGTTCCTAGTCATGAGGGTCAGATTAAGGGTCACAAGGGTGAGAATAAAATTCCAAGTAAGGGTCAGATTAAGGGTCTTATTAAGGGTCAGATTAAGGGATTATTAAATAAGAATAACAAGGGTCTGCTTAAGGGTCTCAATAAGGGTCATAAGGATCAGATTAAGGGTCACAAAGGTCAGATTAAGGGTCCAAATAAGGGTCATGGGGTTTAGAATCTAAGGGTTACAAGGGTCAAAATACGGTTCTCTATATCTGTCTATATCATAAAAATCCAAATCGACTTCTGGCGATAAAAATTTGGTACTCGAAATTAATACTCCAAAATTAAGGGTCATAAATGAAGGGTCAAAATAAGGGTCACGAGGGGTATAATGAGAATCAGAATAGTGGTCACGAGGGTCAGACTAACGGTGACAAGGGTCAGAATAAAAATCATGGGGGTCATATGAGGATCATATGTGGATCCTCAACATCACCTCTATTAATTAATATATAAAATATCTGTGCTAAATCATAACATCTCTTTCCGTCATCAACTCTATCGGTATGACCTGTGCAACAACTCTATCGGAAATCAACCCTATCGACTATCAATATATCCATTATGTCGATTTAAAAATTCCATTAGTACAGTTTTGTCGTGATGCAGTGAAAAAAATTTGCATTAACTCGAGAATAGAAAAACTTTTTTTTGAATTTCTGCCGTTGAAAGCAGTTTTTTTATTTGATTGGAACTGAAAAAAGTCGATAAGTGCATTTGAGAAATCGTAATCTCGAACAGCTTAACAACAGAGCACTCGAGTCGCGATTGAAAGTTTCCACACCCAATCATTCAATTCCGCTATTGGCATTTGTGACGTAAACAGTTGGGATTTACTCAATGTGGCCAGTTCTTTTTCATCTCCAATTGTATTTAACTTGAATTGACTTCCAATGATGAACCAATAGGAATCGACTTATCTCAACACATGTGTTGAGTGGGAGATTTATCTACTCGAAAAAAGAATATATTAATTTCCTATCGTGCAGTTGGAAGAGAAGTGAATAGTGAGACGTTTAATATTCAATGAGTGAATTCTCTTATACGTAAGAATTATAGAGATAAAGTAAATGCATTACACGGAGAGAAATATTCAATAAAAATTACGTATCTTTTCCGTAATTCCAGAGCGGAATCTGGTTGTAGGAAATTTTACGGAACTGTCACGTAATTTTTACCTAAAATCACGGAATTTTTCCAGAGCGTTCCGTAATTTTTACCTGAATATCCTGTGAAAAATTACGATTCCGGCACTTTAATTTTCTGAGTCGATTCCGTAATCGGTGAGCGAACTGTGAGTTCAATAATTTTTACTGAACATTTCTCTCCGCGTATCAGAACAAAAACAGTGAATTTATCTTCATCCTGGATTATTGCTTCGGATTATTGCAAATCCTTCCTATAACAATATCAATAAAATAGACATTTATTTTATTACAAAATTGCATAGGTGTCACCAAAAGTTTGTCCTTTAAAAAAGTCCAAAATTACGAAAAAAAAAATTTTTTTTTTAAATTTAGTCTTGATTATGTTCGAACTGTCTCACCAGTTATCATTGTCAAAATAAATGACCGTAGGACTTTTCCTACGAAAAAATTTCTTTTCCACAGGAAAAGGTCTTCGAAATTCCCTCACAGAATTCCTACTTCTTAACACAATGTTATAATTAACTTAAATATAAATGGGTCACTCATTGTGAATAGAAATCATTCATTTTTCTGTTTATTAAAAATTATTTTCAGTCATTTCAATTTCAATCATTTTCAGTTTTGGTACATCTCCTCAAATAGACAATCATTTCAGTAGAATTCCATAAGTCTCACAGCAAGTCTGTCCTTCATAAATATCGAAGTTATAAAAAAAAATCATAAAAAACATTTCAGTCATGATTACTTTCGAAATATTATATTTTATCTATGATCAATATCAACACGAATGACACGAAATTCCCTTTTCCCAGAAAACGTTTTTCGAAATACCCTCATAAAATTACTAGTTCTTAAGACAATGTTATCATCAACTTGAATTAAAATATTTCACTCATTGTAAATAGCAATCATTCATTTTTCTGTTTCTAAAAATTATTTTCAGTCATTGCAATTTCAATCATTTCCAGTTTTCGTACTTTCCTCAGTCTCGTTCAAAAATATCGTCTAAAAATACCCAAAATATCGACGTTCGATATTCGACGTGTGAATTCCCTCATACGTCATAATTACAGAGATAAAACAAATGTATGATCAGAATAAAAACAGTGAATTTATCTTCATCGTGGATTATTGCTTCGATTTATCATGGGATTACATATTACGAATCACCGCTTCAATAATTTCAATGAAATGCACAATCATTTCAGTAGAAAATTGCATAAGTCTCACAGAAAGCCTGTCCTTCAAAACTACCGAATGTATAAAAAAGAAAAAAATTCATTAAAAAAATTTCAGTCATCATTACATTCGAAATGTCTTATCTATGATCAATATCAACACGAATGACACGAAATTCTCTTTTCCACAGAAAACGTTTTTCAAATTCCCCTCATAAAATTTATAATTCTTAAGACAATGTTATCATTAACTTAAATAAAAATAGTTCACTTATTGTAAATAGAAATCATTCATTTTTCTGTTTTTAGAAATTATCTTCAGTCATTTCGATTTAAATCATTTTCAATTTTCGTACATTTCCTCAGCCTCGTTCAAAAATATCGTCTAAAAATACCCAAAATACCGACGTTCGATATTCAACTTGTGAATTCCCTCATACGTCATAATTACAGAGATAAACCGAATGTATTATCAGAACAAAAATAGTGAATTTATCTTCATCGTTTCTAATTCTTAAAACAACGTTATTATTAACTCCAATAAAAATACTTCACTCATTGTAAGTAGTAAAATTATCTCCAGAACTCGAATACATTTGAGCCCGGAGTATGCAAACATTTTCTCAGTCTCGTTAAAAAAATACCAACAGAGAAATTGAGTAATCGGCCATGAAGCCGCCTGCAACGCGATATGAACCTATCTAGTAATTCAGAAATCGATCAGATTGAATAGCCAATCACTCGGACAAATTCGATCCTTTGAGGACTTTTTGCGATTACGGATGAAAAAATTTCACAGAAAAATCTAGTGAATTCTCTAGAGAATTTTACTGGGCTTCTATCGAGCTTTCTATTAGTTCAATCCTGGTTGATGCTATTGAAAAATTCCGTAAGTTATCTGCGCGTTTCTTTTTTCAGTGCAAATATTCAGTGGAAAATATTCCCCAGAAAAAATAAATGGAATTCGATTTTTCTACACTTGTTCCTTTGAGATATTTTTTATAGAGCTGCCTCGGCTCAAATTTTCTGTCTTCTTGTTTAATTTTTCTCCAATAAATAGAGAAGAAAAATTTAGTGGACAGAACTTAGAAAATTAATGTCGAGGTATTACTGTAGAAAATGGCTCAATAGAAAAGGTTGTCTAGAAAAATCAAATTCCGTTGATTTTTTCTATTCAAAAAATTCTAGGATTCAACATTTTCTATAAAGGGAAAGCGCAATAAAGTAGCGAAATTCTTCAATAGGATCGACCAAAAATTAATAGAATTTTCAATATAAGTTCAATAGAAATTCAATAAAATTTTCTGCAAAATTCACTAGGTTTTTCTATGAAATATTTTGTTTAGAAAATCTTCTCCAGGGAAAAATGTCTGCTATTTCTTTTCATAAATTACGAACGAAGTAAACGTCTGTTGATCATATTCCATCATCACTGAGCGAGATAATTCCGGGAAGAATAGATTCCCAGTAGTTCACATTTTTCTCTCTATTCGTATGAACACTAAAGACCCCGGGGCAATTCAAAATTCTGGTTTCCTAAGCGTCGGTTTTTCCGTGATGCACAACAAGGTGAGTAGAAAAATAGAGAGGAGTGAAGTAGCTGCAGGAATTACTTTGACGTCACCGAAGGGAATTCCCGCTCAAAGTCATTGACTTTCTCGTTGGATTCTTTCAAACGCACATGCGAAAGACAGCGTGGATATGAGTCATGGCCACTGTTCACTTTCAAACTGACGTATAGTTATCTTTTGCCACTGTGCCATTTCCCCCTCTCTCGTCTCCGCGATTATATTTTGATGTTGAGTTGTGTCTGGTGACAGATTTTGTATGAATCACGAAAATAATTTATTCTAATTTTTATCCTTCGTTTCAAAATTTTTCCCTGCAGAAAATCATTATTTTATTTATCGGAAAATTTCCTCATGTGATCAATTTTCCTTCTAATTGAAGTAGTATGAATAAACTTCAGTTAAGTTGTTGTGTGTAACGAGGAAAAATAAATTTAAAAAGCCCAAAAACAAAATCATTCGTCATTGAAAATTTTTCCCATGAATTCGAACTTTGATGAGTGTAAGAAATTGATCCGTCAAATTCTTTCCGCAATTATATTTTAAACAATAGTCTCTCATTTGACAAGGGGGTTTCGACATAACACATTATTTATGACAAAAGCTTGATGCTACCGATAATTTTCATATTCGGCATTGAATTTTTATTTATTTTTTCTGATTTTTCGATTTTTTATCGAGATGTTAATCTTCTCCCGGACCTTGAAAAGTTAATTTACTGATAAGACTGTGTCATATTTGCATTTCTACATTAATTATTATCAATAATACTAGACTGCCGATTGAGCACAAACTCAACCAGTGATATGAATGTTTCTATTCATTTTAACTATCATTTATAATTTATTTCAGATTTTAATTTTCAAAATTCAAGTTGTGTTTATACTACTCTAAGATCTGAAAAAATCCTTAGAAATCAGAAAAATTAAATAACAATTTTATGCTCATTATGAAAATTAACGACAGCACCAGGTTTTTGTAATATAGTATATTTCGATATGAGTGCGTAAAAGTGTTTTTTAGAAGGCAATACGCCTTCGTCAACTGCAGACCCCTTTTTTCATCACAATATCTGGAAAGCGGGATTTTGCGGACCTCGAGCGTGCGCAACATTTCACCTTAGGCACCAGTGATAACATATACTATTTTTGAGCCGTGGAACATCTCGCCGAGGCGAGTGCTACCCTCTGGATGGCCAAAGTCACTTTTCCCATGAGTGTCCAACTCCATCTGTCATCACAACGTGTGGAAAGTGAAACTTTTCGCAGGCGGAGCGGGCGTAAAATTACACTTTACGCACAAGTGATAAAATATACTATTTTTGACTCATGGAAGATGTCGCCGAAAGTGAGTGCTATCCTCGTAAGGGTCAAACATTTTTCCACGAGTATCGAACCTTATTTTTCATCACAAACCGTGAAAAGTGGGTTTTTTCGCACGCAGAGCCCGCGTAAAATTTAACTTTATGAACAAGTAATGAAAATTTTTGAAAAAGATCAATTTCTTACACTCATCAAAGTTAGAGTTCACGGGAGAATTGACTAATGATGAATGATTTTATTTTTTTCTGTTTGAATCTATTTGCTTTTTTATTTTTCCTCGGTACACTGAACGATTATTCCTTTCATCGGAATAAATAAATCATCTTCCTCTACTCAAATGATTCACACTGAAGACTCCGCGTCACTCAGCTGCTGCCACAGTTTCCACACGGATCTGAATAAAATCCGCGATAAGTGTTAGTACGTGACGTCTCATTTCTGTCAGAGAATTAGCGCGGGGTATTGATCTCCCTCGGCGCTATATCACAAGCAACAGAGTAACCGGATGTTTCACTCATAATATCATCATCCCACTCTCAATAATTTATCTCTCTATATAAATAAAAAAATAAGGCGAAAAATTCAGGGGACGCTCAAGTTCAGGGGACGCTTAAGGAACTTCCGCAGTAAGTATACTTGATGAAAATTTCGAAATGGTATAAAGACGCAATATTTGGATCATATGTTGTTGAACACATTCAAAAACTATTCCCAAAATTTCAAGTACCGTGTCCACCCCATTTTCGAGATATACATCGTCAAAAATGGAAAAAACACAAAAATTGAATATTTGGCGATGCATATCTCAAAAATGGGGTGGACCAGGGACTTGAAATTTTGGGAATATCTCTTTAATGTGGTCAACAACATATGATCCAAATATTGCGTCTTTATACCATTTCGAAATTTTCACCAAGTATACTTACTGCGGAAGTACCTTAAATTCAGGGGACGCTCAAATTCAGGGACCTCTTAAATTCAAGCGATGCTGGGTGCCTATACGGGGGTTCCTATAAAGGAAGGTGCCTATATTTATAAGGGATGTCTATATGAGGGGGTGGTCATAAAGGGGATATCGATATTTATGGAGGATTACTATATTAGGGGGTGCTCATATGGAAGATGTTTATGGATACGGGTACACCGCTGCGGTCACACGGGCGGGAGGGGGGCGAGCGAAGC